GGGCAGGCCGGGCCTAGGGTCGACGGGTGGGCCGGGGCCTAGGGGCAACGGGCGGGCCTGGGCCTAGGGTTGACGGGCGGGCGCGCGGGGCAGCTGGGTCGACGGGCGGGCCTGGGCCTGAAGTCGACGGGCGGACCGGGATAGGGTCGACGGGCGGGCCGGTCCTAGGGTCGACGGGCGGGTGCGCGGGGCAGCAGGGGCGATGGGCGGGCCTGGGCCTAGGGTCGACGGGCGCACGGGGCAGCATGGGCGACGTGCGGGCCGGGGCTAAGGTTGACGGGTGGGTGCGCGGGGCAGTAGGGTCGACGGGCGGGCCGGGGCCTAGGGGCGACGGGCGGGCCAGGGCCTAGGGTCGATGGGCGGGCCGGGCTAGGGCCGACGGGTGGGCCGGGCCTAAGGTCGACGGGCGGGCGCGCGGGTCAGCAGGGGCGACGGGCGGGCCGGGGCCTAGGGTCGACGGGCGCGCGGGGCCTAGGGTCGACGGGCGGGCCGCAAGGGGCGGGCGCACGGGGCCTAGGGTCGACTGGCGGGCTGCAAGAGGGCGGCGCGCGGGGCAGTAGGTGCAGCACGAGGGCTGCAGAGGGCGGCACGTGAGGGCGGCACGTGAGCCAGCAGGGCAGCTAGTGGGGCATCGCTTTGGTGGGCCCTAAAAATTCGGTCCTAACGAAGGACCTGCTCTGAAACCATGTCAAAGGAATGAACGAGAATGATTGCATTAAACAGAAGTTGGGTACAAGTACTAACCCTAATTGGGTTGTACCCCTTATGGGCTATGTGAAAATGAAACGAGGAATGAGTAGGAGCCATAGCTAGGTAAGCCCTAGCTAGGCAAGAGAGAATAAGCAAAGGAGGATGTTCACTAGAAAGCAGCAGGATACATATAGGAAACCCTAGGGGGTTGTACTCGCTATTGAGTACCCCACTGCAGGCTAGAGAACAATAACATTCTGACACACCCCCATAGTCAAAGTGGGGTATAATCAGCAGAGCAAGTAGTCCTAGAGCAGGTTCACATGCACAAGTAAAGCTAGGGGCAGTCGCAGAGGGCAAGTGAGGAGGAGGAGGAACTGTGGAAGGAGAGAAGATGGGAGGCAACGACTGAAGCTGCAGAGGCACGGGCACAGGAGCGGCTGACTCAGTGGCTACCGAAGCAAGGGTGACGGACTACTGGAGTAACTGGCTCCGCGGCTATAGACGAGCGGCAGGAACAACGGACCCACTGGCGACTGGTGCAACAGGCTCACTGGCTACCGAAGCAAGGGCGACGGACTACAGGCGCTGCAGGCGACACGACCGCTACCTCCACACAACCTCCTCCAACTGCCCCACACCCTCGACACACACCCCCTGCTGAACCCCTAACTCCACTCCTACAGCACCCCCCTTAAACCCTAAACCCTAGGCTCCCACACACCCACCCCCCTCAACGGCAGCTGCAGCAGTGGGAGACCAGGGAGGAGGAGGAGCAAGGGGAGTAACACACAACCGCCACCCCCACACTCCTCACCCCCAAACCCTAATTCAAGAGAACGGGCAGCAGTAGGGGTGGGGCACCGTCAGAAGCACGGGGGACAGCGAGCAGCTCAAGGACAGAGAGGAACGGGCCGCCCACGGGCCTGGCACAGCCCGACGAACCGCGCGCAGGCGGCCCGAGCCGCGCGCGGGCCTGGCGCAGCCCGTACGGGCCGCGCGCGGGCCGGGCGCAGCCCGTACGGGCCGCGCTCGGGGCTGGCGCAGCCCGCGCTGGCCAGGACGGGCGACGGGGGACGACGGGTTGGTCCCCGTCGCCCGTCGAAGCGCCCCCCGGGGGCGACGCGCGGACCGACGGGGCAGAAGGCCGCCGCGCGCCTCGGGGCGCACGGCGGGCAGAGAACCGCCGCACGCCCCGGGGCGCACGGCGGGCAGAAAACCGCCGCGCGCCTCGGGGCGCACGGCGGGCAGAAAACCGCCGCACGCTCCGAGCGCGCGGCGGGAAGAGAAATCCGTCGCACGCCACGGGGCGTGCAACACACAGAGTAGCAGCGGAAACAGCAGTAGGGCCCACAGGCCAGGAGCGTGAGTGCTCTGATACCAGGTGAAAATGAAACGAGGAATGAGTAGGAGCCATAGCTAGGTAAGCCCTAGCTAGGCAAGAGAGAATAAGCAAAGGAGGATGTTCACTAGAAAGCAGCAGGATACATATAGGAAACCCTAGGGGGTTGTACTCGCTATAGAGTACCCCACTGCAGGCTAGAGAACAATAACATTCTGACAGGCTACCCCACTATAGCCTACACAAATATAATCACTATAACATTCTGACACCAACCCGAACTGGACGAACTACGGAAGCAGCTGGATTGCCTGCCTCGGAAAAAAAATCATTCGCCCGAGCTCGTCACCCTTCATCGCACTGATATTGTTCACACCGAAAAATGACGGGGGATTTCGCCGGGACATAATTATCGGAGCAGCAGCCGTTGTTTGCATGTTACTGCTAACGGGGCTTCGCCAACTTCGCGCGCACTGTTTTACCAAACCATGCACCGCTGGCCTGGCCGAGTCGGCCTACGCTTCGGGACTAGCCCGGACCTCGATGCCAGCCTAGCACTAGCTAGCTCGCACACACCGCTTTACCTAGTCCGCGGTATTTTAACCACGTGAACTGTTTTGTTTCGAACACCTCTTGTTCGCTTTGTGGTAATAAGACGGGCACCCAGAGACGTCGGAGTTCCTTTTTTGCAGCCGGAAGCATTTTCATCTAATGAAACTCACACCTAGTGCTCCGAGATAGAGGGCGGATCGGCATTGACAATTTTTTTACTGCCGTTATCTCGCGAAGGGAACGCTAGATTCTACTCAGTAATTTTCAAACTACTCGTATAAACAAGTTTGACCAAGGTGAAGTACCCTCGAATGGTTCAGATAGCGGCGGTTAAAATACCGCGGACTAGGTGTATGAGTATTCGCTCATGCCTTCGCTCATTCTTATGTACTCGTTTGACACCTAGTGCAATCCTCGCTATCTCGTTCCGTTGCACCCGTAACAATCATATCGAACACACAAGCATTTTCGCTTGTCGATGTGTCGTGGCCCATGTGTGTCAGACTTGACTGGAGCCACGATTAGTGTTGGTGCGCGAACGCAGAGTTCCCCTTTTACAGTTCGCACATTCACTGTCGTACATTACGTACTGCACACGAAAAGTGTTCACTTACCTAGCATTCAACATGGATGCTAGTGCAGCTTGCGCCACTTTTGTGACGTGGGCAGCCGCGAATTTTCGTGAAGCACTTGTCTGCCAGGTGCATTGAAACCTCTACACTGCGATGTTTCGTACTGTACACGAATGACCAGGCCATCACAAAATGTTATTGTGGTTCCGTGTCTGAACTACACGTGGTTCCTCCTCACACCAGCAGGAAAGGACAGCAAGCGTAGGGCAACAGTCATGTGAGACCAACGACGATTGAAGTGAACCCAAAATGGCATCACCATTCACCCACCACACCACAGCACGAAAGGCCTTGATTCTCCAAGTGGCGGCAATTATTTTTCAACGGGCGGGCACACATGACAACCCCCTTTGTTGTGCACAGCCCTCCGCACTCTTTGTCATGGCATAGCTCCTATCGCACAGCAATCTCACGGTCTAACTAGAAAGTCGGACTAAATATGCACGGTATTAAAAAATACGAGGCCGTGGATACTGATCTGCGCCGTGGATACTTTGCGCCATTGCCGACGAGCGGACGACAGCAGATTGTTAACAATGAAGCGGAAGAACTTAGAAGCGGAAGTAACGGAGTATAGTACAGATCGCGACGCTCGCCCCTGCACGACTGGCGCGGCTGGTATTGCTAACTTCGAAGTCACCGCAGAGAAAACACAATCGCCAAGTCACCGCACTTCTCCCACATCGTACGTTTCCCTTCGAAGGACTTGCGCGGGGCGACGGTCCTTGAAACGCGGCGGAAGCAGCGGCGATATCGCCGGCGTTAGTTATAGCGGCGAGGCGATGCGTCTAGCGGAGGGAAAAAAACTTCGCGCTGCATTGGTGCCAACTTGTCTTCCGGAGGATGGTTATAATTGGCTAAAATATGGCGAGAAACCTCTGATGAACCAGCCCAATTGCCTACGGTGAGTCGTTTAGTGGGACACGGCGTTCAACGCGAAGTCATGCTTGCGAAGTGAGTTTCAGGCGTATTCAACATTTTCTCCTCTCAATTCGCCCTGCGTGTGTCTCACAACATCAGGTCGTACTTCCGCTGTGCGTGTTCGGGCTTACTAGGAGCAGAGCCATGTCCTGCCAAGCGAACCGTTGATTGGCGTGTCGACACGCAACCGGCCAGTTTCCATGTGTCGTTCACCGGCGAGCACAACCACGGCCCGTCTGCTTTCCCCGCAACGACTCCACCCGCCAGCTCACTTCCTGCCTCGGCTCTCGCCGCGGGTGGTTGCGAAACGGATGGTTCGTTAAGCGCGAAAGTGGCGACGGGTGCGTCAAGTAGTTTCTCGGGACGCAGCGAGAACGGATCGACCCTTGTGTCCCGTCGCAGGCCGAACCACGGGTTTCGAAAACTTCCCATGGTTCGGATGGGGTTCGCAGCCGTCGCACCCGCTCTTGTCGCACACGCGAAAGCGAAAGCTGTTTCTGACGACAGTGGCGATGAGCCTGACACCTTTAGAGGTTACAAGCCCAGCAGCTACACTCACAACACGCA